AGCCCTGGAAGGTGCATGAAATCCTCCAGGACATAAGTTTCATCGTCCACAACAGCGCATGAACACTTCGTTCAATATTTGTAGTACAAACGTCGAGTCTGTTTGTCGTTGCGGTTTGGGACTGGTTTTACTTTATACGACTTTTGATTTTTGGACAAAACTAGGTGACATTCCTATTTTACGAGTCACCGTTCGAACAGAGGGATTCGGGATTTCCTTCAATTTTCTCTTCACCTTTCGGTCCATGACAGGATCAGCACTCAAATGTATTTATCACTTCTCGGTTTCCTCTCGACCATCAAACGTTCCGAAAATGATTTGAGCACACCGTGAACAGTGGATTTAGGTAGGGTGGGTGAGCCAGTAGTGGAGGTACTAAGCCAATTTATCAGTTAAGAAATAAATATACGATGTACACACAATTGTTATACGTCAATCTATAGCTTTCAACTTCTATTTTGATAGAAAAGTATTAAATAGTAATAAAATTGCATAAAATTTTAGAAAGAACATCCTCCATTAAAAGGAACACTGTTCCATTAGTTGTGGTAGTTGCTAACTTTGGTTCCTATAATAGTGGAATGCGTTGGTTTCTTATGTGTTCCACTATTATAGGAACATTACCGCAACTATAGGTGCAGAGGAGTAAAAATCTTAAGGAAAATTAATTATTTTCCGTCACTTTTGGGCAAATTTTCAGATTGAAATATGCAAATATGCTTTATTTTACGAGAGCTACCGATGAAAAATAATCTTATCCGGATCCTCCTAACTATTCCGGCACAACCTCCATATCGCAACTATAGGTACACCACTATTACTGGAACACCTACCCTAAATCCAATTTTGTTTGCAAAATCTCGTATTGACAAGTCAGAATTTGCATTACATCCGTACAAAATCCGCTCGCACACGTGTTTTTTCATTCGTCGCCATGTTGAACACTAAACATGGAATGTAAACACCAATCAAAGTCCTTTTTCATCAATGACTCCCAGCTGTGAAATTTTTCACTCCTACGTGCAATATTTCAAAAGTTCCAGTGATTTGAAAGTGTCCGGATTAATGTGGATACAGACCTTATACTAAACCGTAAAGCCCGGGACAAACTTTTTATTTTCAAAAATTGCCAGCCCGGACGATCCTACTTAAAACGCGTGGCTTAAGCGCCACTCAACATGGAAGACCACACGCCCAATGTAAATTTGCCCGGTTGAGACTCTTTTAAAGCTGGGTTTATACAGGGCAAGTCAATTGATCAAGTCAGTTGAATGTAAACCATGCCATTCAACTGACTTGATCAACTCACTTTAATTGAAAAAAGTTGAACTAGGCTCATCTTTTCAAGCCAATTGAATTCGACTGAGTTGATCATTTGACTTGCCTAGTCTAAACCCAGCTTAAGGGCGAGTCCATTAAATTTCCTAGAAAGAATTTACGGATCAGGCAAGCCGGCTTTCAACTAACCGTCCAAACGGGAAAACCCTATTATCTCCGTAAAATCACAACACTATAATCACTCAGAGAGTCGGTGAGAGCTCACGCATCCCAAAAAGGCCTCTACTAAAAAGAATTTATCCACATCGGCAGTCTCGTCACTTGCCACTAGACGTCGCCCTGATCTGGAAGTGGACTACCCAACAAACTTTGGTGTGAATAAGAGCTTATTCAGGCAAACGTAAGCTTCTTCAGCTAAAAAATAGCTTATTCAGCTGTTGATCAACTCAAATTGTTTGTTGGGTACTATCCCCAACATTCAAACTCTCAACGACGGAGAACGCGAAGTGATGTCTAATGCATTCAATCAATTAAAGCTAGGGAGATTGTTCGTTTAAGAAAACATTTGTGAGCTTGAGCTTGAGCTTGAGCTTGATTGACCGCCCACGGTTGCTGCTCTGTTATTGCCAGATCAGCTGTAATTACACAGAGAACCAATAGACGATGCTTGGGACTAGCAATCATCCTCAATGTGTAAAAACTGGTGATCTTAAATTAGGCAATACCAGCGCCGGCCGCGCCCGAACACAGGTCAAGAAAGGAATGGGAAGGATTGTGTTGACATGACACTCACTTTGATGGAAGCCGAGAACACCTCTGCACTTCCACGAGGAATCACTGGGATGTTGGATAAGAGAGTTGGGTTTGCAGCAGGGTTCGTTTTGGTAAACAATAAGCTGAATTGATGTCCTAACGATCATATAACGCGAAGGAGCGTGGGACTAAACCCACGGTATTCTGCTCAGTAAGCAAAAACGTTTGCCACTAGGCAGACGAGCACCTTTTTAATCACCGAGTTGCTGTTATTACCATGTAGTCATATTAACAAATAAAACGATTGACGAATCTTGAATGTGGATGGGCCTGAGATTAGACTCATGATGTTCTGCTCAGTAAGCAAAAACGGTTGCTCTAAGGCCACCGAGCCCCTCATATCACATAATACCGTTGCTCAAATTTGTGTATCCATTCAAACCCGGAACCAACGACAACAACGAGTTTCGCAAAATACACGATACACAAGCGATTTGACCATAAATCTCTTTGATATGTAAGGACCTGGGACCGCGTTTTTCTGCTCAGTAAGCAGGCCACTGTAACCGATGATCTTTTAAATCCGAAAACTAAAAACTACGAAAAAGTACTTAGGCCTTCATTAAGTTCCACTTTCACGCGACGTTCAATGACAGGGTCCTATCCAGGATTACATCTGAAAAATCCAAATTTGGCCAACGCCCACCTAAACCTGTTCTAATCCACCTGAAATGACTAACGAATGGAAGACTTTGACTACCCAGCCATGCAATAGTCTGATTCCATGCCTTATGGCAACTTGATGATTCTATTTCGCTCATCTTTTGGCACCACCCAGGGGAGACTTGGTCCTGTACCCAATGCGTAACTTATCTCCATTCCACTCAGCTACTCGCAATTTCTTGTGATATAGTGGGTGGAATATTATTATATGAGACAATTCAATGCAGACGTCTTTCCAAATTTGGCAGATCGACAGGTAATCGGTGAGTTACCACAATAGTTGCTATTCAACAACTCGACAACGTCCCTTCGTCAACGCCTGCTATGAGAATTTCCCATTGCAGACGCCAACGAAATGACGTCATCGAGCTGTCGATCAACTACCCTGGTTATCGCATGGTACCTTATAGCACGATGCTAGGAGGCGAACCGGAAGAATCGATGAGCTACCTCTCCCCCTGTTCGTTTAAGAAAACATTTATTGCTACGAACTTTTCAGACGGTATATTGACGGAATAACGGGTTTTTCAACTTTACTTAACCTACGTAAATTTATGTACACGTTATAGTAGAATCCAAGAGAAATTTATGCGTCACTAGTGGCGGGAAATAGTACTAGTCAATGGTGATAAATTCATGACAGCCGGTTCAAATTCCAGAGTATGAATGATAAATTATTAAAAAAAAAATCGAAATAGTTAGATAAGATCACTATTATGGATGATTCATGCAGGAAATTTGTCGAATAATATAATGTTAAGTTAATTTTCATTGCAATGTTATTGAAAAATAACGAAAATGCGATTTTTGATGCCTAGATATTATTTAGGTTACGTTTTGAATGATTGCACATTCCCATCCCAAAATCGACGTCCACTAGATATACTAGATTATGTTGGAGACTCCGTGCTAGCAGATTTAGAGACCTAGCATACTGTGTGCCTGGGCTACACCAGTAGATCAGCAGCAAAGCAAGAATTGAGGAGAATGAGTTTGTGCTGCAAAGTTCCCATCCCGGGTAGCGGCCACATGAAAATAATCCCAAATTACCCCACGACAACAAACTTTGAGATTTATATCCAACAAAATGATGTGAGCATATCTGCACTGTCCCTGATCCGTAAACAGTGGCAACCTTTCTCGACTGCACGAATTTGTTGCTCCCCGAATTCGGAACCCGAAAAAGGGGAAATTTGTTCTCGTTGCATCCCGGGATAATGCAACGATCCTGCAACAACCATGAAAATGTTAAGCGGTGGAGCTTGTGTTTACGTAGTCTGAAAAATCAACTTTTTTTTCCCAGATTGCAAGCAGTGATATCATTGAAGTCATTTGTCATTATGAAGAAGGCCAATGTTCCTACAATTTTAAAAGATGTATGATCACCAAAAACGTACAAAACAAGACAAATTTTTAATTTAAAAAGTGAAAATTCGGATGTGAGTCACGTTTGGCAGATGTTTACATTTTTTTTCACCACTACGACAACAGTGCCACGGGTGGCCGGTGATTGGTTGGATTTCACTCGATTTCTATAAACTTGTGTGTGTTAGTTCCTCTCTCCTACCTATGTGTGTGTGTGATTTCTCTATTCCTAACTAACGTGGTCATATCTAGATAGAGCTGGAATTAGGGAGTAACAGCTTTTGTAAACAATGACTTCTTTCGATGATTTCTAGAAAGTTAAGACTCGCCTACGCAAATCAACAACACTATCGGATAGAGGAAGACTTCCCCTACTCGATGGTTTGAGTGAATGTGCCTTGAGTTCCTAGAAATCGTCGATAGAAGTCATTGTTTACAAAAGCTGTTACACCCTAATTCCAGCTCTATCTAGATATGCTCTTATCTGTGACGTCACCATATCGGCAACTCAGCTCTAAACGAGTCTGCGCTCCTGGTGACAATGGAGTGGCGTCGGAAATCTTACGCGCACATAGTTTACAGGCGGGAATGCCACATCACGAGTTCCGGAAAAGCGTGTCACAGAAACTCAGCGCTATTCGCTCCTCAGTCTTAGACTGGCTAAAAATCACTCCTTGGCGCCCTCGCCGGACGCCACACTCCAAAGTAAAAAAGGCTTGACTCACCAGATGATCGTTGGCTTACGTGATCGTCACAGTCGATGACCTATCGACGGGTTCGACACACTCGTTAGTGATCGTCGATGGTGATCCGATGAATGGAGCTCGAGGAATGGCGTTTCTCACGCCGGTGCGATGGCGGTTACTCTGCCGTGCCAGTAGGTTAACAAACCGACGGATGGACCGTGTCCACGTGGAGATCCCCTGAGTCTCCTCGGACAGATTTATTTAACGGATCCGTCCGCTTCCAGCCGGTCGACGATTGCCGGGGAAATTCCGTCCATCGGGGAGAAGTTGCTGCGCTCGGGTGTGGTGAATTATTCTGCGAACGAAGAAGACAAGGCTACACTTAAGCGTGAGTTCTGCCACTTCAAATCCGATTTCAAAAAAAGATGGATTGCCTCCCTTTATCGCAAAAGTGCCAGTGCCAGTGCCAGTGCCAACCACGAATGGTTGAATTCTGAAATTCAATTCACTTCTTAGGTTCCTCCGGCATGGCATGGACGTCCAACTAAGAAGTTTGAAGATTCAAGTGAACTTCAGAACTCAGAGCAACCGATTCCCAGATTGACACATGCTGCTCAAATGGGTCAGCGAGCTGTTGGCAATACAGCTGCTGCAAATGTAATAAAATCAGTAGCAGCATTCCCCTCGAAAGCTGCGCAACTTAATCGAGTTATACTTAACCCCCATCCAAAATATCCTCGTCAACATAAGCCTGAAGAAGCTTTAGCTTTTTTTGTTGAGGCTGACTTGACGATAAAGCAATATGAAGTTATTCACATGGCAGATAAATCGATCTACCCATGTTAATCGGTTATAGCAGCGCCGATGGTGTAGTGGTAAGCGTGATTACCTCTCACCCCAGCAGGCCTGGGTTCAATCCCAGTCGGCGCCGCCGGGATGTTCTGAGGCATAACATCTCTGATCACGCCTTCCTTCGGAAGGGAAGTAAAGCCGTTGGTCTCCGGTTCATGAGTTGATGGGTCGATAGGTAGGCACCAGGTGTAGGAGCTGCCACCCTGGCGTCATTAGCATTGGTGCTCAGCACGGAAAACAAGATCGACGGAAAACAAACCAAAGGAAAAAGTAGACGGGTCTGTGTCTAGGGGCTCGAACGGAAGCTTGACGTAGGACCGCTAGTGGACGGCATAAATGTGAAGAGCATTAAGTTCTTTTAATTGATGAATTATCTATTATCTCAACTCTTTCCGTTTTTGAATTGTAGGCGTACCAAATTTGTAGTAATTTTTTCAAAGAGAAAGTTGATTAAGAGAATAAATCAAAATCACTTGCACCCCTGCTTCCAAGTTTGGTTACAAGATTACAACTCTGGAGAGCATTTTGTGTGATCGTTGGGGGCTTGTGGTTCTGAATACGGACAAACAAGCACAGATAAATTCTATTCCAACTCTTTACTGATGTAAGCTTGATGGCCCTGAAAAGGGCCGTTTTATTGAAGAGGACATCCATGGCCACTTACGCTTGGTGTGTTTAGTGAAGGTGACAGCATCACGGACATCATTTTCCAGGAACAAATCTCGCGTCACTTTTCAATAGGTCCTATTTACATTGATCGATTCTCTTCATAGATACTTTCTTTCGTAAATAACTCGGCTTCACAAATTTTTCCTGCCGTCTTCGTCGAATTAGATGCTAGATTGTTGCTGCTTCAATCGAAAATATCCGGCCGTGGCGATTCAAAGTTGATCAAGGTTGATCAAAATAATTTGTACCCCTGCTTCCAGTTTGATTACATGAGCATTTTGTGTGGTCGTTGGTTCTGAATATGGACAAACAGGCAGATGAATTCTATTCCTACTCTTTACTGTAAGAAGCTTGGTGGCCCTGAAAAGAGCCGTTTTGTTGCCAAAGTTGGTGATGATTTAACCTCCGAAGCCAAACAGAGTGCGTCTCTGTCACTTCAAAACGTAGATTACATCCATGGCCGCTTACGCTTGGCGTGTTTAATGTAGGTGACAGCATCACGGATCTCACTTTTCAGGAACATCTTCAGCACACCTCGAAAATCAGACCGGAGAGACGTCAGACACCGCCACGGCAAGCCAGACGACGGATGGTGGTTATCTCGAAGAATTTGCGTTTGGTTCTGAATATGGCGATGAGTGTGCAAAATATTACGCAATTCCATCCTCCCTATTCGCACGCGCCCGAGGATCGGAGGCGAATGCATCTTCGACTTTTTTCTTCTACTTACTACACTCTGACGACTGTGTTTAGGAAGCAGCATATGCATGTAGGTAATTGGTGGATTTGTTAGTTAATTCAACGCTTTTGGACAATGCTGGACATATATCAGTTTTTCAAAAGTTTCTTGTTGAAAACCAACATTCGGAAGCATTGTTATCGACGCGTAGCCATATTTCCGATCGATTGATGAAACAATTATTGAAACTAGACCAGGGGCAGCTGAGTTATTATCGTTCAAAATCTTTCTTAATTTGTTACATGTTCCATTTTCGGTTTTCACAAATGGTACCCCCATATAGAAATCAAAGACGTAGTTCTACGTCAAAAAAATGTTATTCGGTTTTGAAACAAGCAAAGAATCACTGTTACTTAAAGGAAGAAACCTTTACAGGTTCCGAAATTCGCAGTATATGCAGAAGTTTGACGATGCGCAAGCTGATGATACAAATATTATCCAAAGTTCATTAGTAACAGTTCGACTGATTACTATAGTTGGTATGGCATAATCCTGTTCCGTCATCGTGAAGATATCGCCGTCCAATAAGGATTCGTTTTGTTAAAGAAACTAACGATATTACGGTAGAGGAAATTTCGTATATTCAGAAACAAATAGAGAATCTGCAACAAACGGAGATCAGGACAAACAACGATAAATTAGTAAAATTTAGTCATGTCTTAATTCCAACAATGGTGGACGGCAAAGTATGTTACTCTGCTACAAGTACTTTTTTGACAATGAGATGCTACATTTGTGGAAAAACTTCTAAGACCTTCAACAGTCTTGACGAACTTCAGCCTTCTAATCCAGAATCGTTCAAATTTGGATAGTCGATTTTACATGCAAGGATTAGATTTTTTGAATCGTTGTTGCATATTTCTTACAAACTAACTATTTTAGTTACATTAGGTCAGAGATCCTGAAGAGAAACAGATAGTTAAGCGCAGGAAGCTTGACGTTCAGAATCTGAAATGGGGCTAATAGTTGACGTTCCCAAGGCTGGTTTTGGAAACACTAACAACGGCAGTACGTCACGAATTTTTTTTTTGCAAATCCAGAAAAGTCAGCAGCCATAACAGGACTTGACGTTGATATTCGTCTCATTCACCGGTTTTAAATTATTCTTGAAACAATATCATGTTGCTACCAAGTTTACGCTGACAAGTTTGCCACATTTGTAATGTAAACCGCCAAGCTGTACGTGGAACTGTACGGTTGGCTTCCTATGACACCAACACTACATATGATTCTCGCTCATGGAGCAGAAGTTATCCGTCATGCCTTACTACAGATCGGTCAACTTTCTGAGGAGGCTGCGGAAGCAAGAAATACACATTTTCGAAACTTCAGACTCAATTTTGTAGAATCCAGTGCAACAGGGATGTGTTGAACAAACTTCTTCTCAGCTCAGATCCGTTCCTCAGCACCTCTAGACAAACACCAAGAAAGACGAGCAAACCTTTTCCTACAGAAACGCTACAGATGTTGGCAAAAATTCAACGGCAGGGGAGCGATCGCGATGGAAGCAGTGCTGAAGAATGTTCCGGAGAGGGTTTTGATTCAGATGCCAATGATATGTGATCGAAATGTTTGTAACGATACACTCAAACATACTCACACACACACTCAAACAAACACACACACATTGAGAAAAACAGAATAAATAGAGAAAATTTCAAAGTGCACTATTAGGGGGATTGACTTTTTTCACTTATATTGATGGCAACTCATCTAAAATCATATTTCTAGCACATTTTCAGTTAATCTTCTTGAAAAATCGAGGATTTAGATTTTTTATCACCTTTTAAGATCAAACACTCCTCTGTGCGTCGGGAGCATTGGACTAGGGTTACCACATCCCGAGCAAAGTAGAATAACAACCCGATATCATCTAGATAACAAGTCTTGTTATCCCAGATATCATTTTGTTTTCAGTTGTTATCGCATAACTTATTTAGTTATCAGCCTTGATCAATTTTGTTATCAGTTGTTATCATGAAAAATTCACTATACATTTATTAACGATGCAAGGTTAGTTCAAAACTTTAAATATTATTCGCATTGAAACAATAAAAAATAGTACTTTTAATCCCTATCATATTTCAGTTATAAGCGTAAGGCTTTGATATCAAAATGATAACATGATTTGAAATTTATGGAATGAATTTGTATGGCTTACAGAATTTGTTATCAAGATATTATCAATGATAACAAAATTAGTTATTTTTGTGATATCCAACGAGCAATTTTTTGTTACCAGTTTTGTTATGTTGGCTGTTAATTCAACCATAATGATAACATATTCAGTTATCAAAAAGTGATAACCGGATAATAGAACTTGTTATCAATTTGATATTTTACTTTGCTCGGGATGGTATCCTAAAGGAGGACATGTCCTCCTTTTTCAATAATTTTTCTACATCCTCCTTTTGCCCGAAAATGTCCTCCTTTTTTTCCCGTAACATATTCATAAAATTGTAATCAAAGAACTATGTTTGCAGAGCTTATTTGTTTAATTATGTCGCAATCTCATCTTATCTAGCAAATGCCATTCGATGGTGGGACTAGGACTAGGAGTATACTATAGCTGTTAACCCCCTACATTTAGGCTGCGGTCTTTTTGGTGAATTTTAACTTATATTTGACAGATGGAAAATTTTCAAATATACCTGCTATTCCACCACAATTATAGCAGACAAACCAGGAATCAATTTTGACAAACAATTCCTCGATAATCGGACGATCAACAACAGAGGGATTTTCGAACATTATAATTTATTTTCGAAGTGTCAGTGCAAATATATCATTTTTACTTAAATTACAATGTTCGAAAATCTCTCTGTTGTTGATCGTGTGATTTTCGAGATGTTTGTCAAAATTGATTCCTGGTCCGCCAGAAATAAGTCTGGTACAAGAGCAAGTTTGTTTGTTTGCAAGTTTGAGTGTTTGTTTGCGTGGGTGAGTTAGGAGTTAAGACAAATCGTCGATTGAAGAGATTGTTTACAAAAGCAGATACGTCGATTTACTACATACTGAGAGCGAAGAGGCACACGAAGCGTGAAATCGAATGTAAGGAATAATATCAATAAAATGAATTATTTTGTATAGAACGTTGAGCGCGCCTCTTCGCTCCCAATATGGCAGCGGTCTTAGAGTCCAATGCTGAATCAATGGTAAAATTAACAGGTTGCTTTGATGTTCCATGTTGGCTTCAATCAGCGATGACATGTATCCTGATTTTTGTACATGATAAAAGTTGGGATGGTTTTAAGGCTGCAAAGCTGTAGTTTTCATGCAAATCAGCTA